AATCCTATTTTAGAACATTAAAGAAAGTGATTTTACACAAAGCACTTGAAAATGGGGTGTTGCTATATTTTAAATATTGACTTCTATTTGAAAAGATTTTGAAATTGCTTACTAGAGCATGGCATCCTAGCGTGCAGCTCAGGGAAGATTCAGCAATGATCAATAAGGGAAAATCATGATTGATTGTTTTTAACCTACATTAACTGATTTGTCTTTTGACAGTGGTAAAATTCCCACCATTTTCATGCTAATTAGACCCAGGCTTGAACCCTTTATGGTGGTCTATGGAAAACCAAAATTGAAGTGAAAATTTTGTTTAAATGATACTATTCAAATAATTTCCCAGGTACAATATAGTGTAATAACACAAAATTTGCAGTGCTTATAATTATGTATTTGCTTGTTTGAACAAGGCCTTTATTTTGCCTTGAAATTCAAGAAGAAATTCATAGGCTGGTTCTATGAAGACTAGAGAAAATCAAGGTCACTTCAAGTGTATGGCAGACAGCTCTACGAACAAATGTCGATGGTATTACCCTTTGAGGAGAGTCCTTTGAATACTTTCCATGACACTCTCCATAAGAAATATTTCCTTTAAAATACCTCTAACTGGCATCAGAACAAACATAAGCTTTCAAAATTATTCTGACCACTTCTGAATTTTTAAATTAGAGTTGAGGGAAAAAATAGTCTGCATTGTCAAACTGAACAACTTAGTTGCATAATGAATTATTCCTATTTTATTTTAATTTAATTATGCAAATTTGGTCTGAAATTAATTCCAGTGCCTGTGGAGTTGACATTTGTTTGGTTCATTTCACTTTCAGAGCCTTTTCTTCTTTCCTAGTCTCAGTAAGCCCAGCTGGCAACCCCAGAGCTCTGCAACAGTCTGGTCTTCACTTAAGCTCATAATATTGATAATAGTAGGCATAACAACAATATAAACTATTTGATATGGAAACCAAAATACAACATAAAAACTGACCATGGAAATCTTCATTTGCTTTGTCAGTATAAATATGAGCAAGTTTATTCCTAAGCCTGGGCTATGATAAAATTTTATGATACCGAAGTTAAGTTTTGGTATTTGTTGATTTTCTTCTTTTTTTTAAAAATATATTTTATTGATTTTTTACAGAGAGGAAGGGAGAGAGATAGAGAGTTAGAAACATCAATGAGAGAGAAGCATCGATCAGCTGCCTCCTGCACACCTCCTACTGGGGATGTGCCCGCAACCCAGGTACATGCCCTTGACCGGAATCGAACCTGGGACCCTTCAGTCCGCAGGCCGACGCTCTATCCACTGAGCCAAACCGGTTACGGCTTGTTGATTTTCTTAAGGTTGCAGTCTGTCACAGGTGTATGACCTACTTTGATGCAAGAGTTTCCTTACTATGCGATGCTTTCTTAATACTGTGCTGTTTTTGTTCACAGACCTCAGACGAAAGCAGTAAGCTGCAAAGATGATCTTGCTTTATGTTTCAGCAGGTTCCCCGATGTACATGTGTGCACACACACACACTAAACACACCTCTGAGATCTTCGGTCAGTAACTTTTCACCTCAAAATCCTAGGTACCCTTCCACTTTATACTTCTATCATCAATCCCAATTTTTATTTCAACAGCCTGATCCCCAAATCTAGAATTCCAGTTGAAGATAGGGAAATCAACCCAAGGCACTCAGATCAGTTTCAGCACATTCTGGGAAAAATGTTCTGGATTTTAAGAGGGCCTCCAGTCCTCCTCAGCCATCTCTCCTTCTTCTGCCTTTAAGATTGCATGGAGTGCTGATCCATCTAAAGACACAATGGCTGGATTATTCATTCTGAGACCCAACCTAACACCTTACCGCTTTCTTCCATGAAGTAAGTGTGCCACATGATGTTGGACAAAAGAGAGAAAAGCATTCAAGTGTAGATCTTTATTGCTGTTGAAGTTGGTCTTCATAACGTGCATGAATGAAATCAGAGAAGCGGGACTGTGGCACTTCTGGGACCCTGTAGTTATCAGTGGGTAGAAAAGGCTCTGCATTCAGCACCAGCTCTGGGGGTTATAATTCAAAACACCCTATTAGAATTGGAACTTACCATTTACTTCAATGTGGGAGCATGGCTAAATAATTATACATCTCAACTATTGTGTAAACCAGCTTAATGAGCATTTCTCAGGCATGTCACATTTATACAGTCGCTAAATAATTTTCTAAAATAATGTTGCGTTAGAAATTGCCACATATCAACTTGGATTAGTTTTACTCATGGCCCTAATCATGCCTGAAATAAGATTTTTCTTTTCATGTCACTTTACTTATTTATTTATTTTACTATAATTTGGTACTTCCATTGAAGATGACTCATACTTATGGGCTGGCCAGATGCTCTGTTCAGTTTATTTTTAAGTGTCATATTTAATTGCCACTGACAAAATCAAACCTGGCATTTTTTAAAGCAGTTATAGCATCATTAAATGTCCTTTGCATTCACTTTATCACAAAATAAACCTTGGAAGGCATTCATTCCCATATCTTAACTTAGAATATACTGTAAAAATGCAAACAAGTATTTAGGTCTAACATTTAAAGATTTAAGGATTGAGAAAGTTGCAAGCATGCACTTTAACTGTTTGGCTCTTTGCAAGAACATGTTTCAAGAAGATATCAATCAATTTACTCTCTACTTGAGAAGATATTTAAAATTTTGAGGCAAACAATTGCTATATTATTAGTCAAGTATTCAAATTACTTTTGGTCTCCTTTAACCCTATCATGATCATCATCATCATCATCATCATCATCAATGCATTCATTTTTTTCTAAAGTAATCCTGAGGAAGACTAATAACTCAAGAAATGTTCTCAGGCATGAGGCTGAAATGAAGTTAGGAACACAAATGGAAGAAATTATACAATCAAATGCACAAACACTGAAGTAATATTTTGTGTTCCAAACACATTTGAATGTGTGATTATATATACAGAAAGATTAGCTCTTAGGTCACTAAATTAGTCTTTTGAATTTTCTTGCTCTCTCATGGATTCTATTTGTTTCCTGACACCATTTACCATGTCATATTACCCATAGCACTTTATCTACCAGTATTTCCAAATTTTAAGCTGCTTACCAATAAATATATCTCTACAGGAAAATTATTTAGTGGCTGTGGTAATAAAACTGCAATTGGTAATCTGTTGAACTTTATCTGAAAGGAAAGTGCTTTTGCAAAATTTTCACATTCATGAATTTAAAAAAAAGAATAAACACATTTTATATTTTTGCCTTGACTGTGTATATGCATTAAAACAATTTTGAGGAAATAAAAATGTGAGGAATTCAAGGAAACAGACTGTTACTATTTTTGTACTTTAATGGAATATTTGTATTGAAGAGTATATCTTGGGGGGCAGGCTATCTTTTACTTTGCACCTTTGTATGTAAAAGAAGTGTAGCCTGCATTTGCACAATGCCAAACAAGTATTCTAGCTGAATCTGGTTTCAATGAATATCCCTGAATGAATGGCTACTTAGAAATTAAAATGCACAGTCAGTCCTTGAAGAATACTGGTACATTTCTCATATATTTGCAACTAAGTAACCCTTCCTTTTGCTATGAACATGGATGTGAGAAAAGAATAGGAATGGGATGCTTTACTAACAAAGAAACATCATTTTTGCTCAGATATAAATGATGTTACAAATTGATGTAGAAATACATTCTATATTTTGTAAAAATGCCCTGCATCCTGATAATATAGCCCTCAAATGTATGCTGTTTCCAATCCTCACAGCACGGGAGTCATCACGACATTATCCAACATGCTGGAACCGTATTGTTGAGTGACAGATTTCCTACTTAGTTTTATCCCTTCATACCACATATAGAGATGAAATGCTTATTTTAAAGCAATATATGATTCAGCAAAAATCATTCTTGCTCGTAAAGCTAGGTTATTGCTTAGAAGTGTACTGATACTACTCAATTAAGAAGTTCTGTTAGTTGAGGTCAGTTATAAAAGGGGTGTTATTAAACATCTAACAGTAGAGAATATATATTTTGAGTATTTTAATGCCCAAATCATTTAAATCTTAATTCCAAATATGCATCTATTACTAATAAAAGAAGATATCTACCTACTGATAGATAAATAGATGACAACTATTTTTGTTTTGTTTTTTTTTTAATTTTTCAAAATAAACACTTCACTTTATCTGCAGTTGTGGGGATATTAGAGAAAAGACAAATATAAGTTGTCTTATGACGACCTAGCTTATGAAATTGTGTTTTGCCTCCTTGCAGTTGCTTCTGCTGGTTTTTCTGTGTGACACCCCTTTCCCACTTTTTTGCACCTAGCTGACATTTTCTTCTGTTTTCAAGCTTCAGCTGCAGGATCCATATAATAACTCTTCCGTAATTCTTACACTGTTGAAATTATTGGTGATGTGCCTGTGTCGACAACAATACTACCCCAAGATCCTGCAGTCTGGAATTGTGTCTTCTTCATAGCTGAATCCCTTCCACAGTGCCTCCCTGGCTCACAATGGGCAGTTAAAATATATCTTGAACTGATCCAGAAATAAATGATCTATTTTACCAAAAGGGCAGCAGCTTCATCAAAAATGTTTACTCATATAGGTGAAATTACTTTCTTTTAAGTTCTATCTATAAATAAATGGAGTAATAAGGCAATTATTCAAAACAACAACAAAAAGCAATGGCCAAAGTCCTACGCTGAGACAGAGCAGTTTTTTGGCCTGCCCTCCTTCAAATGACCTAATACAACATTTATGACTAATCACTTGTGTATTTTCTTCCTTTCAAAGTATAGCCATAGGTTAAACCTACTCGTTTCTCAATCTAAAAACAATTCTTTATCAATTTTCCCATAAGTTTCTTTTACATCATTTAAACATGATTGGAAGGTTAGCAATTCCTAGTATCGAGTGGATTTGTGTCAATAATATACTGTTAGATGAAATTTTTGAAGTATTGAAAAAGTTGCAGATTAATGTTCAAGAATACATTTGCTGAAAGGATATTTTCTAAGGAATAAAAGTTTCTGTAATGTTTCATTGTATGACACTTGTCTCCATACCGCGAACAGGAGTAACCTCATGCTCACTGTGCAACTAAAAACTTTCCGAAGAACTCCAGCCTAACTACCTTTTATCTCTTTTTGAGGGATTTTCTGTTTCTTCCACCTCTGGGCCCGTGGCCTCTGTTTCTCCCTTGTGGTTGGCTTCAGGGGGACCGGTGACAGTGTGGGCTCAGAAAAACAGCTAAAGCAGCACAGGTTATTGAGACATGCTTTGTGATGCGCCTGGTGAATCTGTGAAAGCTTCTTGAGTCTGCTAACCACACACCATGACCAGAAAAAACTCAGTAATGGATCAGCCAAACATCCTATTTGTCACACAGGGCCATCCCATAGGCAAGCACTGTTGATGGAGTAAGGGTTGGGAGCCATTTTAAAGTTGAATACATATAGTTTCAGATGGTAGAAAGCCTGACGTGTTTTATCTCGGGGTGAAGGCTGAAATCCCAGATGGCAGCCATGTACACTCCTACTGTGGTTCATGCCCACAGGGACTAACACTACTAGCCCAGTGCTTTTCTGACATTAGAGGGAAATAGATGGCCCACAAAGTTAGTTGCTCATGGGGTGTCTGGAAAGTGGCAGGAAGATGCTGACTAAAGCTGTTGGTGCAAATGGACTCCCCAACTTGTGGTGACTTTAATACAAAAAACAGATAACTTTCCTAGCCATTTAAAGTCATTCATTTTGAAGAATAGTTAGAATGCTCTCCAGAGTTAGTCATTCAAAAACAGTCTACATATTCATCCAATGATTTTTAGCAAAAAAAAAAAAAATTAAAAGATAAATTAACAGTCTGGGTCTATAGAATACAAACTCCACAAATATAAATTCTATTCTTTATTTGACTGTAAAATTATTCTTATATCTTGACAAAAAAACTTTTCTGATCAAAATACAAATGCATATGCTTAGTTTGTCCTGGTTCTATGTTGTTGGAGGGGTTTTTTCTAAGTTTTCTAACTCAATTTTTTTTTCAAAACTGCGTTTTTAAAAAGAACCTGGAATGACTAAAGAGAACATTAGTAGAAAAAGTTTGGTCCAGATAATTTCAACAAATCTACACGCACTTGCTCCTCACTTCAGGTCTTCACAAAGCCTTTCTCCCTGCCCGGCTCCTCTGACAGAAAGGGGCTGAGACCCAGGGCTTAGCCTGGCCTTTCTAATGTGACCAGCCTCTATAAGTGGAAATGGAATCATCCTGGCCAAATACAGCCACATAGGCAGCTCAGCAATCATTCGTTGTTTTATAATATTTTGAGCATGGGACCATGAGAAGCATACATCTAGCTTTCATTAGTTTCATGGTCTATTTGGGGGGCATTGTAGTGGCTTGTCCTCATGTTTAAAGGTGTCTTTTTTATTTCTAATATACTTACATTATAAAGACTTTTCAGTGCAGCACTTTTACTAACAACTGAGTAGTAGATTTAGCCTACTACTTTTCTGTATTTTGCCTTAATAATAGGAGTTATCGTTTACTGAAGGCTTATTTGTGTCAGGAGTTGTTCTAAGTTAAGTATATTAGCTTACTTAGTCCTCATTTAAATAACTGATTCCATGAGCCTGATGCTATTACTTATATCCACTTAACAAATGTGGAAATGCATGTACAGTGCTATCTGAGTTACACTTTGAGCCATTATGTTATGTTGCCTTATACTTTCGATTTTTAAACCTTACATTATTCTCTTAATAAAAAGGAAGGCCATATGTAATGATTCGGTTTTAGCAATTGATTCTATTTTCAATAAAACTAAACAATTTCTTATAACACTCTCTATGTGCCAAGCCTGTTGTAAGCACACTACACAGGTATTAATTCATTTAATCTTTGCTCCAGTGCTGTGGGATATGTACCACTATCATTCCCATTGTATGGGAGGGCAAATGAAGACACTGAGAGGTTGGTAACTTGCCCCTAGTCACCCAGCTAGTATGATAGAAAATTTCTTTGGTGGTGGTGGGGCAGGGGGGGAGGGGGGTCCATAATGCATCTGTCAAATTGGAATTATTTTAACATTATAGTCCTGCCATTGCTTTTTGCCTTTAAACAAATTACTCCATCTTTCTAATTTTTAGCCACCTCATTTACAAGTAATGGTTGGCAGTGGGAAGATTCCATGATCTCTAAAATCCCTTCCAATATTTCCCAGTTGATTTGGTACAACAAACCCTGCAAAGTTGCATGGAAAAAAGTCTTTGTTTATGCCAGTCTGAAGATTTATCACAGCTTTGAAACTGGCTGTACGTTCTAACACTTACTGCATATCTTCAAGAATGGTTTCAGGAAAAGGATCTAGCAGTAAGCTAAAAATGTAGAAAATATTTTGTTGACTTTCAGAAGTGCCAATTTCAGCTCAGCATCTGCCAATAGATCCAGATAATCCAGATAATTCCTGGCTCCACCACTCACCAGCTGTGTAACCTGGGCAAGTACTCCATTGTCCTGACCTTAGCATCTTTCTCTGCACAATGGGGATAATAATCCTACCCCAATAGAATTGCTGTGAGAAGGAATCGAAATAATATGTGTAAAGCATGTACAACAGACCTTGGGCCATGGGAAGTAGTGAGTAAAAATTTAGTATTATTATTGCAGAAGACCTTTTTTTTCTAAGAAGGGGGAAATAGTGAATTCCAACTATTGTCATAGTTGTAGAGGATCCTTTTGAGGTCTGATGAAAACCTAGTCTCCCAAGGTTTGGAAAATTGGGCTCAACCTTTTTATCTTCAGGAGCAAAAGAGAAAAAAAAAATCCACTTAAATTGCTCAATGGTTAAGATAGATGTGACTTGATACTGAACTATATTAGTTTGGTGAAGTTACTTAATTTCAGAGGGCCTGTGTACACACGATCAATATGAACTAGATGGTTTTATTTAACCTGATTAAATTAACTAGCTAATAAGTATCATTAAGTCTAGTCAGTTGGACTGGATTTTCTAGTTTGTAAGGAATAGATTTAATCTGTCTCCCCTTCTTTAGTTAAAGAGGTAGTGGTTTTATTATTTGCTAAAATTCTTACAGTATATTTTCTGAGGACTGGAAACTATATTTTACAGTATTAGAATTTGATTTTTCCTTTTAAACAACTCACTAATACAGTATATTAATTACCCAGCAATTTAAACAACTCATCATATAATATATAAATTACCCAGTATGCAAGGTAATAGAGAAGAAAGCCTAAAGACATTTGAATTCTTTTTGTGTGTGAGAAAACATGTGAGACTTGAAATTTAACACTACCTGGAGGTCTGATTACACTTGCTTGTCACTTCTGCTATAAAGAAGTGCCAAATAAATTAACCCACAGTTTTAAAGTGCGTTATTAGCTTCATGCAGATTCCTGGAAATATACTAGGTCCTTTAAAATTGATTACAGAATATTATAATAAATAATAGTTTATTAAGTATATCCACTGCAAAGTTGTGTGTACAAATATGATATGATTATATCATGGACAAAACAAACACCCTGAATTTAGATAAAGCTTTCAGAGCCGAAGGCATTCATAGAGATTACATCACTCACCAGAGACCCAGGGGGGTTAAGTGCTTTGACTAAGTTATGGAGAAAAAGAGGATAGTCTAGACTTCAGCAGAGGCTTTCTTGATCTCAACTTGAGGGACGTCCCACTCTTCTACTGCATGCATTCAGACAGCATATTATAATAATAATGGCAATAACCACCACTTATTAAGTACATACTCTGAGCCAAGTGTTCTGCTCAGCTCTGCACTTACAACTCTTTGTCCCCCACCTCATAGCTCTATGAGGTGTGTACAGTTTCTTCCATTTTATAGATAAATGACTGGGACTCAGCACTGTGACTTTCAAAGCTATGCAGCTAGCCCAGGCGGAAAGCTGGGGGCCGTCTCACTCTTGTATCTCCATTCTTTGCACTGGACTCACTGCTTCACCATGGGGACCAAAATGACCACATCTTTGAATTTTCCTTTAAAATCAGTATTTTAATCTCTTGCAATGAGAGCCTTGGCTGTGTGCAACTGCAGAACTTGTATCCAAGGGGCTGAAGAACAGTGACACCATTCCCAATAATAGCTCACATTCCTGAAAATTAACTCACTGGCTTTTAATAAAATCAAGTGTAAAAAACCTACCACATTATTTTAACATTATCGTTTAGTCTATGTAGACCATGGATTCAAGAATATGAACTTGGCCCTGGCTGGTGTACTCAATGATTAGAGCATCAGCCCTTGAACAGATGGGGTCTCAGGTTTGATTCCCAGTCAAGGGCACATACCTGGGTTTTGGTTGGATCCCTGCCTTGGTCAGGGTGTGTGTGGGAGGCAACCAATTGATGCATCTCTCACATTGGTCTCTCTCTCTCTCTCCTCACCCCTTCCTTCCTTCCCTTCCATTCTCTCTAAAAATCAATGGAAAAAATATCCTCAGGTGAGGATTAACAACAACAAGATTATGAACTTAAAAATAGTCAACTCCAAGAGGATGAAACAGGATATTAAGCCTGGTGCTCTGTAAATTAATACTTTGAGGTGAACTAGAAGCATTATTAATAATTACTATTTATTTAATGCTTAATTCTTTTTGAAAGAGAAACTCCTAAATGGTTAATACTATCTCTATTTAAAAGTTAAAAATATACTGGAAATTATTTGAATAATGATGGCGCTGAGCACTTTAGGGACAATAACTACAATCATAGTAGCTGTGTCTTAGCAAAATATTTTAGATTTATTAGTCAAACTGTTAAATGTTTGTGTTAGAAGCATTAGTTCCAAGGCAAAATGAGGCGATATTTGTTTGTTTGGAAATTTTTTTATTAAAAAAGATTTTTAATAGTAATGCTATTTTCAATACAGGTGTGATGGTACTCAATAAAGTATTGTGTACTACTTGATATAGTGAATTTAAGAATGTAACAGTCCAACTAGATGCTGGCCCCCTCTCTCTCCATTAGCAACCCTAGTAGCAAAATGTAAATATCCTTTTAAAAAATAGAGAGGCCTTTGGGCAGTTGGGTGAGCAGAGTGGGGTGGGGTAAGGAAAGTGCTCTTTCCTGACATACTCATGCTTTTGGCTTTGACTTCATCTAGTCATGTCAGTTCCCAGAGAACTGGATCAAACCCTTCTATGATCTGCAAAAGCGCAGGAGAAAAAAAGCTTGTCATTCACAAGCAGCTATGGACAAAACCAGCAGCAGAATACAGGGTTAGGGAAATTAGGGATTCAAAAAAGAAGTTAAAGTGCACAGTTACTGTAAAAATATATTATTTTGATCCTAAGAAAATTAAGAGCATTTTATCTAATGAACTAGATTGCTGACCTTTTAATACATTTGGTTTTCATGGAACATACAATCACCATCGGCCATAGAAGACTAGTTTGCATTTAAAAAAATTGCTTGGAGTAATCTACAGGACTCTTGTGAACACAGTTCCAGGACAACGTTCTGCAGCTCTTTGGGTA